ATTGAGTTAGAAATAATAGTAAAACAAGTAAAAGAAATATGAATGCAATAGATGCATATGCAGTAATGGGTAAGTAGACAGTTGTGGAGCATTGATAGTTGGGGATGGATTAAATAGGTAGGTGATAGCTAGTAGGAATAAATAAATAGGTTATAGTGCGTAAAAAGAATGTGATTATATTATAGGAATATAGGAAATAGTGATGGTAGGGGTAGGTAGGTGTGTTTGATGGTTAGGTAGGTGGGTGAAGTAACGCTATAAAATAAGTGAAACTAATTCCTTGTTGTTAAACTAATTCCTTTTTGGAATATTTTTGTAATTTGTATGGCTTTTATTCATTTTGTATGTACTCACATTTAAATTTCTTGTGGATATAGTGAGAAATAGATCAGAGTTGGGTTAAAATATATAATTATATATATATTTTTTATTTTCAGATAACAAAAGGAATTTTTATCTAAGACACACAATCAGGATGTCACTCCCTACTCCAAAGCGCCATATGCAACAAGAAAATTTGAATCAAGATATAATCACAGAAATCCTTAAAAGGCTGCTGTGAAATCTCAACTGCAATTTAGGTGTGTTTCAAAAGTTTGGCGTGCTTTATATCATCTCCAGAATTTGTCAAATTGCACTTAAATTTTCATTCGAAAAAGGATATTAAGGTCATGACATATAGTAGTGTAAATCGGATTAGCTATATGTCCTTGTTTTCTATTACAGAAAACAAGCAATCATCATTTCGAAAGTTTATTACAATTGACCGCTCAGTCTTAATCCTAAAGATGGTTTTGAATTTTTGGGTTCTTGCAATGGGCTCTTTTGCTTTCGTGCTAAACCGTATCAAATAATGATTTGGAACCCTTCATTAAATGGAAACGTCAAGACAATCCCAGACGTATGGCAGTTCAGCTACATAAGCATATTTGGATTTGGATACGACATGCATAATGACGACTACAAGGTTGTTTATGCTTATTATGGTGACAATAATGGTGATGATGAATATGTGGTTTTGGTGTATAGTTTTTAAAGCTTGGGACATGGAAAAGATGTGATAGAGGGTTTAGTAGTGGGTTTGTTTATCCCAGAATTGCTGTGTTTGTGAGTGGTAGTCTCAACTGGTGCAACAACAACTTAGATGACAGTGACTGGAATTGGAATATATTTCTTTTAATTAACCACCGAAACAGCCAAAGCTATAGCGTTACCCAGCCATGAACATGGGGCTGCCATTTGTGTAGGTGAGTCAAGAGGATTGCTTTTTGCAGGTTTTCATCTCAAACGTCAAATGGAAGTTTGGGTGATGAATGAGTTTGGAGTTGAAGAATCATGGACTAAACTAGTCTGCATTTCAAACTTACCAGTTCATCATCCACTTCCCCGGGGTTCAGAGAACACGGCATACATGGCTCTGTGTAATGCTAAACTCGCAATTGTACATGTTTCGGAAAATGGTGATATTCTAATGATGGTTGGGCATCAGTTGAAGCTCCATAGACCAAACGCTAGAAGGGGTAAGAATTTTAATATCCCCTATGATCTTGGTTATATGGTTACTAGTTATGTGGACACCCTTGTTTCACCATGACGGGTCTGTAAATTAATTGTTCATGTCATGTTGGAGGAAGAAAATTTTGCTTTTTGATGGTTGATTTAGAGTTCATCAATGGCTTTATAATCGTGTTGAATTAAGTATAAAATAGTATTAATTTTTTAATTGTATCATTTGTGTATGAGCTTTGTGAACATTTTCCTAGCCATTTTGGTGAACTATAGATTTGTGTGAATGCAACACAGGTAAGATAGAAATGTTTCTAAGTTAAATTTCATTGCATTTTAGTGTAAAGGTTGTGACTTTGGGCTATAATATTAACACCCATCCATTACGGACTTGGGTGTGAGGCGATACAGAGAGAGTGTGAAGGGGGGAGAGGGGGGGGGGGTGGAATATATGTTGAGTATAGAGGGGTAGGTTGACCCATGGGGTTTACCAACTTACCGCTAAGGGGCGGGGGGGCGGTCTCAAGGCCAGTGGTCCCTACCGGCCGAAAAAAAGGGTCTCCTGAACTCCTCGAGCTACAATAGTGTGGCTAGTGGGCGTCGAGCGCTCTCCATCGTGTCAACGGCGCCCCGTGTTATCATGACTTCTAATATTGACACTTGGGTTCGATTACATAAAGTACATTTTTATTATACTAAAGATTCATTTTTAAAAGATACATTATTTGGTATATACTATCAAATAATAAACGTTTAGTACACAAATAATGTACATTCAACATATTAGAAATACACATTTATTCATGGTCAATTAATTTGGCCTTTATTCCTAGCTCCTTATTTGGGCTCCTTTATTTATTATTTATCTATTCCTTGAATTATAATTTCGAGTCTTATATAATCTTTTGAACTTAAGGCTCCAATTAGTAGCAATAATATTATTATAATTTTCCTATCCCCTTTTTGTAAAGTGGTTTCATGATGTAAAGTGGTTTCATAAATCCATCACAAATTCACAATGTAATTCCATTATAATCACATTAATTGCATTTAGGCAGATTTCCATTCTAATTTCCGTAAATGCATATCGGGAGCTTCGTATATGTATTATCCTCCTTTATTTAATTTCCTTATGGATTTTATGAATTAACTTCCTTATATGATTTAATTCATCTTGATAGAACAAAATGACCCGCTTTCAAAAAAAAAAAAAATGACCCATGATATGGATGAATCAATAAATTTGCATAAATTAATGGGGTAAAATAGTAAAAGATCAAGAGATAATTGTAATAATAATATTGAGTGGATTAATAAAATAACGTTACAAGAGTTTTGTAAGAATAGAACATGATTTATCTAAGTTATGACATGAGCTATTTATACAAGAAAAGTATAGCAAACTTAGCTAAACTCAGGGTAGGGGTGACCACGGCGATTCGAGCCGTAATCATCACTGTAATAACCGGAACCGTTCGTATGGTTCCGATTCCTATCTGGAACCAATAAGGTTCCGATTAAGTTTTGTGAAATAAAGGAACCGGAACCAGACGGTTCCGGTTCCAAACCGAAAAAAAAGAAGAAATAATTTAAAATGATGGCAGCAGGGCATAGGCTTGCAGCATACTACCTCACTGCCACATTGGGCAGTGGGCAGTGGGCAGTGGCGCAAAGGCCAAAGAGGCAATGGTCTCACTTTTTCACTTTCTTTTTTTTTTTTTTTTTTTTTTTTTTTAAATTCGGTTAGAACCGACGGTTCCAATCAGAACCGTTGGTTCATAAACCGGAACCGTACTATAAGGTTCCATTTCCTGTTTGGTCATTTGCGGAACCGGAACAGGAACGATCACCCCTAACTCAGGGTAAGTATATATATATATATATATATATATATATATATATATATATATATATATATATATATATATATATATATATATATATATATATATATATATATATAAAGAGAGAGAGAGAGATGTTATAGAGATATTACAAATGATCGAAGAATGAGAACCCCAGGATCCAAGAAGGCAACCTAGACGAAGAAAGTGACCCAAGCCCAAAGAAGGCGATCGAGACCAAGGTGGTTCGGGCCAAGCAATTAATGCAATCTGGACCAAGGCAATTCTGACATGGGCTCGGGTCACTTCTTTGGGCTCGGGTCACTTTCTTCGTCTAGGTTGCCTTCTTGGATCCTGGGGTTCTCATTCTTGGATCATTTGTAATATCTCTATAACATCTCTCTCTCTCTCTTTATATATATATATATATATATATATATATATATATATATATATATATATATATATATATATATATATATATATATGTATGTATAAACATCATTTCATATATTTTCCTTAAGTGTATTTAGGCAGTTTTATACGCGTACAATTTGTGTTAAGCTGAGTTAATCGCGTTCAAAGTCATTGATGAACTCTGTGTTCAAATTGTAAACAATTAGGGTGTGTTTCGAAACCAGAAAATGACTTCTCGAAAATATTTTTTGATTTTCAATGTTTGGCAAGAGAGGGGGGAAAATGAGGTCAATGACATGGTGGGAGATGCTCAATCATTGATGAGCCTCAATCCTCTTGATGATGACTATGTGTGACTATGAATGAAATTGGTGGTGATGTGACTTGAGCTTTGCTCATGAGTTCGGCGGTATGTGACTATTATATTTATTATTTAATGGTACTCTCGTATACTGAGAGTTCGGCGGTATTGTTTGGCGACAGTTTGGCACAAAACATTGATCCATCGGTTCAAAAACCAATAATTGTTATTACTATAATAATTCTAATAATTAGTACGTAACAGTAATAACGGAATTATCAATTTTCTTAATTGTAACCGAACAACATTTAATTATAATAATGATAATCATCATTATTATTAAATATTACATAATATCATCATTATTACCATAAAAGTTTTGGACAAGCAAATTCAAATGAATTTCAAAATATGATTGTTAAAATCATAATCTAAATTATTATGACAATAATAAAATAATATTCAATTGTCATAACCATATGCTTTTTCGGAACTGTGATTCAAAATCACACTCCATATTAAAAATATTATCAAATCATGACAAATAGCAAAATTCCATAATTGCAATGAAGAGCCAGAATAATCACATAATATTATATTATAACCATTAAGTGATTTAAAATGGAAAAGCAATTGCTGAAACCGCAAGCCTTTAAAACATTTTTGGGGAAATTTTAATACTTAAAACTTAAGCCGTGTAACAAGTCCGCATAAAGGCATATTAAAAAAAAAAGGTTTAGACGAAACTTTTTATCACCATAATTAAAGAAATTAGCACAATCATGGTAATTTTCTAAAACATACTGCAAATACCAGGAAGCAATACAATCCTAACCAATTTGAAAAACTACACCCTTTAATTAAGGACAAGAAACACAAGGACGGGATTTCCGGAATAATGGCTCCAAAATAAACAATAATAATGGTAATCAATTGAAGTACCAATTCTATGAGGAAGTGAGAAAAGCGTAATATTGAAGATCATTAATGGAGTAGTACACTGCTGAAAATTATGAAATTTTCGACCACATGAAAGTTATCTTAAATCAAGTCGAAAGCAAAAAGTGGTCGGAAATAGCAACAATGATTTTTCCGAAAACCAAAAGTGGTCGGAACAAGGCTTTCGACTTGATTTAAGATCACTTTCAGGTGGTCGGAAATTCCATAATTTCCAGCAGTGGTAATAGCGCAACGTCTGTATCGCCTTCGTCCAGAGCTTCTCAACCCGTCTGCTGCCCGCCGAAAACGACGGCAAAAGACTAGTAGCTAACCAGACTTCATGCAGACGCCGGTAGACAGCCACTCCAACGAAGACATATTGGCAACCCTCAATGAAGACGCTTATGGAAAACGAAATCGCAAACCCATCATCTCAGACAATGGCTCGGCGGCGCTGCATTACCGTAAGCGAACGACAAAATCACCACTCCAACGGTGCTACGGCCCAGGATGCCAATCGGGACGACCAACGACACCACCACCGACATTCGTCAAACGGAAATGGCTAGGGGAAAGTTCGCAGCACCGAAGAGAACAAAAACAGTCCCCACCACCTGCCATTAACACCTCTAGACACCCATCATAATGGGTGGCAGTGCTAACATGCTCTGCTGGCAGGAATATACGGTAACACCTCGACCAGGCAAAACCAATTAAAAAAGTTCCCACAAGAGCCAAATCTTAATTGAAACAAAACCAATGGCCCTTCGACGTCGTCAGGTGGAGGACTCGGCTGACACAAAAATTCCAAGAAGTACTGAGGGCGGAAAGGTGGAGGACTCGGCTGAGGCTCCGACACCTTGTCTAGATACACGGCCGGCTTCCCGTCATTAATCATCTGCAAGGGCCTCTCCAAGGCACTCGGAGACATGGCTACGCCAAAAAGAGGAGGAACCTCCCATACCTCCTCCTCCTCCGGGCCCGGATCGTTCACCACTGGTTCCACCTTGCCATCAGCCGATTCCACGGGGGCCAAGTCCAGCATATCTGGGGACACCACGATAGGATTAGAGCTTGAGTCGCCACCAGACGTCCACCGTTGGCCAGCCTTTTCTGCCTTAGCTCTTCCAGGCGCGCATGCTCCTTGTTGCGAATGGAGAAGCGACGATCGCCGACTCTGTAGCTCATGATCAAAGGTCTATGAACAGAAGTGGTATGAATCACTAGCATGAGATGCCTTTATATAGCCTCAGAAGGGCGAATATCTAGGCGGAAATCACGGAGATTATAGTAAAACTGCCATAATCAGGCCAGAACAGACGAGAGGCCAGAATCTTTGTCAGGAGGGAGTTCCGTCAAATCCTCTCGAAAAGAGTGAAATTTGCACGCTGAACTGAAAAGGGCAGATTCACCCAGGATACGGGGAATATTTGCAGGCGTCAGACTGAAAAGGGCCTGACAATGTGGCCGACTCTAGGGCGAGTCGGCCGAAGAACCAGGATGGATATCCAAAGAATTAAGAAATGAAGCCCTCCAAGAGGGAAACCTAATTTTATTATAAGAGACGAGAAATACACAAGATAAGGA